TTTTTTTTTTTTTTTTGGTATACTGGAGTTTCTTCGAGTTAGTAATGTCCTTAGGTGCAAAGTCTTTTTTTTTTTTTTTTTTTGGTATACTGGAGTTTCTTCGAGTTAGTAATGTCCTTAGGTGCAAAGTCATTAATTTGACGGATTCCCGTTTTCCCACCTCTCTCAACTATAAAGAAAAAGTAACGTTCCATCCAAAAATGTGTACCAGTGATCTAAGAGAACCAGAGGCAGTGATGCCCAGTGATGTAGTTGTGGAGCCCTCCACAACTACACTCTGCCCAACCCAAATTGAGTAAGAAGAGTGTGTAAAATTACATTAAGATTAAGTGTGGGGGAAATGCCAGTGTTTTCTTTTTGGACCTGGCTATCTGATCATCCCTTCAAATGGTTCAAAGCTTCTAGTGACACAATGTGGGTACCAGAATTGCAACATTTTTCTAGGTCCTTTAGTGACTGGATGATGGACAGTAAGAAGATCTAAGAGAAGTAGTATTTGTCAGAGGAGGAAAAATGAATAGTCCCATTTATTTGTTAGATTGACATTAAGATCCGCAAACTCATTAAAACAAATCAACAATCATAACTAGAATATTAGAACATTTCACACTTCGACTGTAGTTCCTTTTGAATTCCTTACTACAGTCTATCCTCATCCTAGATAACAAAAAGACATTGGCACACTTACTGAATGTTCTCTTACCCTCTCATTTTTACTTTAAGATTTTATTACGATTATTTTGGTTGATGTGAGCTTTACTTTAATCAGTTAATACTTATTAGTCAAGATCAGTGAATTTAGGAGGGAAGTATCTTTGGGGAAGACTAGTCCATCAGGGAAGAATATTTCTTGTTTTTGACTTAGATTTTGATTCAGATTCTGCCTTTACGAGGTATGTGAGTTTGGACAAGTTTCTTACGTTCTTTATTCTTCAGTTTCATCTGTAAAAAGGGAAATAATAAAATGTGAAAAGCCCAGCAAATATTAGCGTTATCACTGTCATTAGTAATAGTGGCCTTGTAAAGCAGTAATCTAGGAAAGTGCAAGACACTTCTTTCTAGTCCCGGTATGCATTACAAGAAAGACATCACAGGAGCTCCAAAAGGTTCTTCGCCTTTACAATTCACACCCTGAAGCTGACTGATTTGCCAGCAATGACACAGAACAATTCTTTACGGTTCTCGTGTAACCACGGCACCTTGACAATGTGTGGCCTTCTCAAGGTTATTTTCCTCTTGTGGCCTGTGAGATTAAACCAAATATATGTTTACAACGGCCTTATTCAGTTTTCCCCTACTGTTTCCCAGGGTTAGACAGACTTCAGAGCAGCTTTCATCTCTACTTTGTGATTTCTGGAGACATTTAAGGTGAATCTTGAGGCTGTCCCGTCTTTTCCCACAGGCCTATAACCAGAGTAATGTTAGAGATGGGGGGGGGGGCGCGGTGCAGGGGCGGGGGTCATGTAAGGAGCAGGGTCATCTCTTTCTGTTGCCCAGCATCCTCATGGCAGAATAACTTGTTTTGGTAAAAAAGGCTGATGCTCTGAGGATTCTGGAATTTCACTTAAATTTAGGATGTGGATCCCCAGTAGTCGTTATTAGAAAGAAAAATGTGAAGGGATATCAGTGTGGGAATGCCTTCAGGATCCTTTCCTGCTTAAGATGTGGGGGTTCAAGAAATATTAATGCAAATTACTCTGGATGTTGAAATTGGGCTAGTCTGGCCTCCAGCCCTTCCAGTTTGCCAGGGCATGACCAGCATTCCCAATGACAACAAATTATGCCTCCTGCTTTCACATGCTGGTGGGGATTGGGTATTGAAACTTGTTCAGTTTTTGAAAACGTGCCAATCAGTTTTGAATATGAGTCAGCACCAATCAAGTTTGAAAGCAGCACTGGTTTTGAAAACATACCTGTCAAGTTGAAACATGCTTCTAGGGACTTGATGCAGTTTTACACAGGTATCTTAATTCCATTTGGGGTGGGGCAGAGTGGAACTGTGGAGGGCTCCATGCTTTTATGATGCCAAGTGCCATAAAAGGCAGGGTAGCAGACAGCTGGGGATATACTCACCCAGACTCACCTGGGAACATCTTGGAATCTGGTCTTTGAACAGCCCACCAGCTGCTTCTGTCTGCAGCACCAC